TCCAAGTGGGGCAAAACGGGGCCGAGGCCCCTCAGGCAACCCCTCCCCAACCCCGGGAACCTGGACAGCAGGACCCAGGGCCGAGCCATACCCTCAAAGCCCCAGCCTCATAAGGAAAAGCCGGGGCAGCCGTGCAAAAACTAAGGAAGGGTCAGACACTAGTCAGACCCATGCGGCACGATATAACTCTTAGAACAGCAAAGGGGGACTATGAAGCCAGACTGCCCCCCCACCAGGCAAAAACAAAAGAAAACCCCCACAAGAGGACAACGTACCCAGGCGGAACAGAGCCGGCCGCAGTTATTGGTGAAAACTAGTTGTGCAGTACCCCGCGCTCCTACCAGTGATGAAAACCATCTCCTACCCAGAGACAAACAAGGGCAACAAAACCCCAGCAGACTCCAAGGGCGGCCCAGTACCGAGCAGTAAAGGACACAGCGGAGGTAGAACCCAAGGTGACTTGTGGAAGGTGGCTCCAAGCCCCAAGGGCAGTACTCACAGGGCACCTAGGGAAGAGAGCCCTAGGCACATGCAGCCCGAGTACCGTGGAATCTCACTCCTGGCTCACACCCTTCCGGTAGAGACAGCCCACACCACAAGGCATAGAATTGAAACAAAACCAGAGCCAGAGGCACTCGACCAGCCAGTCATCACATCAGCCAAGAACTGCCGGTTGGATCGCTGGCGCGGATGGTCTGGGGCTCCCCCTTCCCCCTCCCGGGGAGGGGTGGGAAGGTGTTGTGCAGACAGCGGCGTGGCGATGTGATGACATCATACTAATTAGATAATTTTGTTTGGGAAGTTCTGTCCACTCGTTTGGCTTTCGGTACCAATATTTTAACCAAAATAGGGGTTTGTTTTGGGGCGCCTACCTTTCTGGGTGCCTATCCCGGTCGATGGCAGACAGAATGCTCCAAACCACAGGAAAGTTTCTATAGGCCATTGCTCCTCGTGCCTCTCTGAGGGGGCCAGGTTCTGGCTTGTGGTCCCTGGTAGGCAAGAACTCCAAGCACTTTGACTGGTGCCAGAAAGTTATACATATCCATTCAGCCTGGATAGCTCCGGGGAGCCGACGGAGCTCCCCTCAGAAAATCCATTTTCTGATCGATTCTCACCATTTTTACTTTTAATGTGTGCCACGTCTGTTCTACAATCCTATTAGAATGGATTTTTCATAAACTAAATGTTTTGAGTTATAAATTTGGTGCATATTTCAAATGCCATTTTGACCATTTTTTTTTTTTACAATAAACTGAAATCTATATTTTAAATCTATTGAAATGAAGATCATATTATGCTGAGAGCATAATAACACTTCATGAACAACTGGTGATACTTATTATTTTTGCAGCTGATCTGAACATCTGAAATTTTCCATATTAAATTTTATAATTACTTCTTAATTTTCTTGCTTTGCAAGTTACGTTGATGATCATTTAGACAAAGTTGGAGTGTTTGCCCAGTAGATTATGCACCAAAAATTTGAAAGTGTTAGAACGTTTGAAAAATTTAACTTATGATACCATCGGGTCCTGCCGTATATATACGCCATGCGCAGTTTAAGGGTTAACAGTGTCTAACTCTCAAAATGACAACTGTACATACAACAATTGGAGAGCATCTGCATAATATACAGATATTTCACAGTTAACAATCCATATTTTGTATCTACTGAAAAATTATAACACAAATTTAAAAATAAAAATAAACATGAAGGCATAAGCTAACTAGGCATAAACAAACATAAGAATTAGGAAACATTGCAGTAGATGTGTTGGCTTTGCCTAGGTGGGTCCTCTTTAAATTCAACCCTTTCACCTATCCAAGCTATTTCTTAAACTAGTTAAACTGTCTCAATACTAGCCAGTTTACTGGCTTGCTTACTTTACTCAATGCCAGAAAGTCTATTCCACAACCTTTACTAAACCCGTACTCTCCTATATCTTTCATAAGTCAAAATTTCTCTAGATTGTTCCCATTACTGAGGCTCTGACCTGTTCCAACAGTTTCAGAAGCTGGTTTATATTCCTAACCCACTTGAAAACCTCAATCATCTTGTACCTTTGTTCAGTTTATCTAGAGTGCAAGGAACAGTTCACCGTGTCTTCACAGGAAAGGTCCCCACTACCGTGTATTAGCCTTCTTATCTTTCTGTACAGCAGAGTCGAAGTCAGGCTTACCAGTGCCAGACATAGCACAAGGATGCAAATTGTGCTTTTGTTGTTGCTCTTATAAAATCCAGCACACGATTGGCTTAATTTCCTACATTGAAGCATTACTGTTTGCTCAGGCTTTGAATGACCTAACTATGACTTCCAACTGTCAACTTTATTTGCCCTGGACTACTACAGATGCAGTATATATCATGAAAACTGAAAATGTTAACTGTTGGAGAGTTAGATGACAATCCAACAGGCATAATGCAACAAATTCCTAGGTAGTTTCAAGAACAACTCTCAAGACAACAGTGACATCATTAATGAACAAGTACAAACAATAACCCCTACCCCCCCCCTCTCAATAAACACACAAAATTTATGAACCAAGTACACTAGTGTGCACAGAAATAATAAGATACTATTACAAAACAGAAACATGGATGAATCAATAGGAATCCACTAGTTAAATATCTAACAAATGAACACAATCTCACACTGACACACAAACCAGATGAGGAGCATGGGTATGGGTACACACATACTTACTCTCGTCCTAAAATGTTACAGGACCAACAGAGGGAAAGCAATCCTCAGAAATGGTAAACAACTACCCTTACAAAGAACACCTAAGAAGCACAACAGCTGGGTTTTTGGCCAACAAGCATATCATGCCAAAGTCAATCCCAACTCACCCATATCCAAGCAACTAACAAAACCTGAGAACTGTTCAGGCTTAACCCCAGCTGGCAGCCTATTTCACTCGCCCACATCCATCCAAAAATGAAGCCTCTTCAGCCTGCACCCACCACTGCAGGTCTAACCTGTAGTCCATACACACATTAGGCCTGCATTTTTTTTACTAGAATTCATAATATAGAAAAATGTTGGACATTCATATATGAGCAACAGGCCAGTCCAGATGTATAGCATTATTTCAGTTTAGGTTGACTAATCTGTGCTCAATTCTCTAATATTCTGAATCACATCAGTGAGGCATATGACCCTGCTGACCAACAGGACTCTCATTCCTAGGTGATGGAACATTCATTGTCCTCTCCTCTGGCCGAAATACACACGCGTGCACACACATCACTATCTTGCCCAGAAATGCATAGACCACAGGACGGGTGGGCGGGTAGGGTGGTGGAAATTGGTAGCTGGCTAGAAGGCACGTGGGATGAGTAGGTGCATGGGCGGGCAGGCTGGCTGGGTGGACTGGTTAGACGAGTGGGCCGGCCGGCAGGCTGGGTGGACTGGTTAGGCAAGTGGGCCGGCTGGCAGGCAGGGTGGACTGGTTAGGCGAGTGGGCAGGGTGGATGGATGCATTGGTGGCTGACTGGGGGGCAGGCAGTATGGGTTCAGGTGTGCACGTAGGCATGGGTGGGTAGGTTCGGGCCGGTGGGCTGAGTGGGTAGGTTCGGGCCAGTGGGCTGAGTGGGTAGGTTTGGGCCAGTGGGCTGAGTGGATAGGTTCGATCCGGTGGGCTGAGTGGGTAGGTTCTGGCCGGTTTTCAGTCGGGTGGGCTATGGGCAGGCTGGGGTTGACTGGAAGGGTGTCAGGCGGACTAATACAGACTGGCTGTGGTCATGCCTGATCCATCCCCTCAACTCCTCCATCTGCACTACATCCTAAACCTCCCCCCCCCATCTCCACACCTGAACCTGCCAGAAATATCCCCCACCTCTCCACCCGCATTTAAACGGTCAGTACGGGATTAACACTATGATTCCGATCAACTGTTAATGCCTAGCTGCCTTTGACTGGTTATGAATGACTCACTTGTGACTGCCTACCTCTGACTGGTTGTGACTGACTAGCTCTGACTAGATGCTGTATAACAGAAGCAGTGAAATTTGTGAAGGGAAAAATGTAACCACTGGCCTAGTGAGAGCAAGTGTGTCAACATATTAGCCTCCAGTTTAATGCGCACTGGACTCTGTAAACTCAATACTGTATTCCGGATTTAATGGCCAGTGACTAAATAAGGAGCCAGTTAACGATCTAAAATTCGGTCATTAGAACCGACGGAAAGGCAGGTCCTTAAATCGAGTGGATGCATGCATGCATGCATGCATATATATATATATATATATATATATATATATATATATATATATATATATATATATATATATATATATATATATATATATATATATATATATATATATATATATATATATATATATATATATATGTATATATATATATATATATATATATATATATATATATATATATATATATATATATATGTATATATATATATATATATATATATATATATATATATATATATATATATATATATATATATATATATATATATATATATATATATATATATATATATATATATATATATATATATATATATATATATATATATATATATATATATATATATATAGCCGAAAAAGTTAGGTTAGGTTAGGTAGTCGAAAAAACATTATTTCCTGAAAACTTGGCTTATTAGGCAAATTGGGCCTTGCATAGTAGGCTGAGAAGTGCGTTCTGGCTACTAGGTACGACATATATATATATATCTTTTATATAGGGTTATCTTTTATATATATATATATATATATATATATATATATATATATATATATATATATATATATATATATATATATATATATATATATATATATATATATATAAAAGATAACCCTACTGGGAGTATCTAATTATTGCAAATTCTACATTGGAAATAAAATTACTATACCTAATATGAAGGCTTCAAAGATGTTAGTGGACTGTTGCATTAAGATTAACAATATTAAACTAAGGTAATTAGAATGATGATGATCCTAGGTAAGTGAGAATAAACTACAGTACCTTCAGTTCTTCCTCCCCTGCTGTGTGGGGAAGGTTCCCCACAAATATCTGTTGACTGTCAGGAACAGGAGGAGCTCTCCGTCTTTCTTCACCACCTAAACTCTCTGACAAAATAAACGGCAAGATTTAATTACTATTTTTAAAATATAAGTCATTTAGTGTTCATCACATTCTGAACAAATATTTGAGAGAATACAAATTTGGCAGGTAGCCAGTCCATTAATCAGTTTTATCCAGTTTATACCCCAGCAAAGCTATAATTAAAAGAATGCTAACCTAATTCTGAATTATCTTCACCGTTGGGCCTGAATGGGCGGTCTCTTGGCGGCCCTCGTCCTTGTGTGTTCCTGGGTGCCCGTTGAATAAATCCACCACCAGACTGGGGTGGATTCTGAGCAGGATTTACACCAGCTGCTGCTGTAGCACGACTGTTTACTTCAACACGATTCTGAAAAATGAAATCGACAACCACTGTTAGTTGTGATAAAAATAAATTACAATAAGAGATTGAAGAACATGTGAGGAAAGTGAATGTTGTAATGGAGGCACAGAGGGGAAAATCATACTTAACAATCTAGACTAAATTCTATGCCACAGTGAACAAAATAAGATAAGAAAGAACACTTCATCTTAGTAGACTCTCAATGCTTGATACAATTCTTCAGAAGATGGAGAAAGGCAGGGATAACAGGAAAGGTACAGTACTGAGCATGGGAGTCCCTGATACAAAATACAAAGGGTCATAGTCAGAAAGGATAAGGTAGGCCAGACCAAAAAGGAGTGGAAGTGGAAGAACTCGCCCAGAAAATGGAGTTTCATTACATTCAACGCTGGTTTTCTGAAGGAAGGGTCTCTTACTCCTCAACTTGAAGTCGAGATAACTGGTTACAACCGCCGACCCAAAGTAACACAGGCCCGACGTGGCCCGGAGACATTTACAAGGTAACGAGCAGCCAGGACCCTGTTCGACCGCCAAAAACCCAGCGCCCGAATATCAGACCAAGACATATTCCCAAAGACGGCAGCAAGAGCCGCGAACTTACGGACGTCATGGGCACAGGGATACACCGCAGGCTGGCTGGATTTGATAACCTTGCGAACGACCTGGAAGACCCAACCCACGAACAGGGAAGAAGGGAAACCGGATCAACCTAAAGCGCGTCCCCGGACACAGAAGCCCTGGCGCGCAAATAACAGCGAAGCGCCGCAACCGGACACAAAGCATGATGCACCCCCGGCCGTACCAACCAAACATCAACCACCCATGGACCCCTCCGGAACACAGCAGTCTCATTCTTCGCCATTAAAGGAGATGGCAGTAAGCGAGCAAAACAATCTCCACGACCGAAAGAGCAGAAACTCCTGCGCCAGAGGAGAGCATGAAGCTCCCCGACCCGACCCCCAGAGGCTAATGCCAACAAGAAAAAGAGCCTTGGAGAAACAATCCCGGACCGAAGGGGCCATAACGAAACAAGGAGACAAAAGATAAGCGAGCACTCTGTCCAAAAACCAGGACGGCTCAGGCGGCACATGAACTGGCCGGAGGTGAAACAAAGCATGAAACAGCTTGCAAAACGGCGCAGACGTAACATCGAAACTGAAGGCAAGCTGAAGCGGCTCTACCAGCGCCGCATGATGCGAGGCGTCAATAATTGCCCAAGTGTAGTTACAGGATGAGAGCTACGCTCGTGGTGTCCCGTCTTCCCAGCACTCTTTGTCATATAACGCTTTGAAACTACTGACGGTCTTGGCCTCCACCACCTTCTCACTTAACTTGTTCCAACCGTCTACCACTCTATTTGTGAAGGTGAATTTTCTTATATTTCTTCGGCATCTGTGTTTAGCTAGTTAAATCTATGACCTCTTGTTTTTGAAGTGCCAGGTCTCAGGAAGTCTTCCCTGTCGATTTTATCAATTCCTGTTACTATTTTGTACGTAGTGATCATATCACCTCTTTTTCTTGTCTTCTAGTTTTGGCATATTTAATGCTTCTAACCTCTCCTCGTAGCTCTTGCCCTTCAGTTCTGGGAGCCACTTCGTAGCATGTCTTTGCACCTTTTCCAGTTTGTTGATGTGCTTCTTAACACTTTAGTGCGCGCGGCACTCGCTGAAAAAAAAAGCGGGTTGTGCGCGCGGCGTTCTGGGCGCTCAAGCGTGAACACAAAAAAGTTTATCATCTTTTCACGCTCCTAACATCAATTCTTGAGCTACGTTTTTCATTTTGGTATCAATGTGTTGGCAATAAAATTCTCTACAAGATCATATGCATAAAATATCACCCAAGCATTTGCTATCCCACCACGAAGTAAATAAACACAAAGATGACTCGCCGTGACACCCAAACAGGAAGTAAATGTTCATACTCTTTCGTTTGTTGCCAGCCTCACAGTCATCCTACAGCGCTTATTTTGATTTCACTGAACTCACAATAAAATTCCCCACCCAGACATATGCCTATCAATGTCTAATTATGTTCCACACGAGTGTGGGAACTGGGCGAAGCGTTAGCCGTGATTTCAGCAGCGACGACACTGTTGTGATGCAGCGCTTTGAAAGTTTAGACTTATTTCACTGTCATGACATTATTTCTCGAGCTACGTATTTCATTTTTATAGCAATGTGTTCGCAATAGAAAGTTCTATAAGAACATGGGTAGAATTGGCCAACAGATCGTCAAATAAATTTGCGGCGAATAAAATCTTACGCGAATCTTACGCGTGTTTGTACCCGTGAGCGTAAAAAGTTTTTACTTTGCTAATATTTTTTCAAGTTTATACTTGATTCACTCCGTTTTTTTTGTTTGTATAGTGTTCGGAATAAAATTCTCTACACAGACATATGCATATAAATGTAGAATCATGATCGTGGCCAACACAAGAGTGTGTGGAGTGCGCGATTACCCTCGTTGTGTCACCAATTCAATAGTCTCTCCTCTAAGTTTCAATACATTGCCGTTTTCTCAAATAGGCACAGTGCCTATTAGAGAAAACAAAAATTTAATGGCAAACATATTCATACAAACCCCAAGTCGATCGAGTAGTAAATACCCAATATAACACGGTCCGTAAATTTACGTCGTGATCCGACAAGCGGTTAGGCAAACCGCCCTTAAGTCCAAGTCGAAAATCCAGGAAAGTGTTAAGATATGGGCACCACACAACAGCTGCATATTCTAGCTTTGGCCTAACAAAAGTCAAACAATTTCATTAGTATATCGCCATCCATGTATTTAAATGCAATTCTGAAGTTAGAAAGTGTAGCATAGGCTCTTTGCACAATATTCTTTATGTGGTCCTCAGGTGATAGTTTTCTATCTAGAACCACCCCTAGGTCTCTTTCTTTATCAGAATTCTTTAAAGATTTCTCACATAATATATAGGTTGTGTGGGGTCTATGTTCTCCTATTCCACATTCCATAACATGACATTTATTAACATTAAATTCCATTTGCCAAGTGGTGCTCCATATACTTATTTTGTCCAGGTCTTCTTGAAGGGCATGACAATCATCTAAATTTCTTATCCTTCCTATTATCTTAGCATCATCAGCAAACATGTTCATATAATTCTGTATACCAACTGGTAGATCATTTATGTAGACAATAAACATCACTGGTGCAAGAATTGAACCCTGTGGTACTCCACTTGTGACATTTCTCCATTCAGATACATTGCCTCTGATTACTGCCCTCATTTTTCTATCAGTCAGAAAATTTTTCATCCATGATAGAAGCTTACCTGTCACCCCTCCAATATTTTCCAGAACAACCTCTTATGTGGAACTCTGTCGAAAGCCTTTTTTAGGTCCAGATAGATGCAATCAACCCAACCATCTCTTTCCTGTAATATCTCTGTGGCTCGATCATAGAAACTGAGTAAATTCGATACACAGGATCTTCCAGATCGAAAACCATACTGTCTGTCTGATATTATATCATTTCTCTCCAGGTGTTCTACCCATTTATTTTTTATTAGTTTTTCCAATACTTTCACTAATACACCTGTCAATGATACAGGTCTATAATTGAGGGGATCTTCCCTGCTGCCACTTTTGTAGATTGGAACTATGTTAGCCTGTTTCCACACGTCTGCTACGATTCCTGTACACAGGGATGCCTGAAAGATCAGGTGAAGTGGAATGCTGAGCTCAGATGCACATTCTCTCAAAACCCATGGTGAAACGCCATCTGGGCCAGCTGCTTTGTTCTCACCGAGCTCCTTTAGCATATTTTCCACTTCATCTCTAGACACCTCTATCCGCTCTATGTTGTTCTCTGGAATTCTTATTGTGTCTGGTTCTCTGAAGATTTCATTTTGTACAAACACACTTTGGAACTTTTCATTTAATGTTTCATACATTTCCTTTTCATTTTCCGTGAATCTGTTTCCCATTTTCAACCTCTGGATATTATCCTTTACCTGCAATTTGTTGTTTATGAATTTGTAGAATAGGCCCGGTTCTGTTTTACATTTATCCGCCATCTCTTTTTCAAAATTCCTTTCTGCCTCTCTCCTTACTACTGTATAGTTATTTCTTGCATCTTTGTATCGCTGGTATGTTTGAGGGTTTGGCCTCTTCCTATACTGATTCCATTTTTGTGTCTTTTGGTCTCTTGCCCTCTCAATTTCTGTCGAACCAATCCTGTTTTCTGGGCCTGCACCTCTGTTTTGGTATGAATGTTTGTGTGCCTTCCTCGTATATTTTTAAAAATTTGGCATACATTTCATTTACTTCCCTGCCTAGCAACAATTCTGTCCAATTACACATTAAAAAATTTTTGAAGTTCCCCATAGTTGCCTCTCCTTAAATCGAGTTTATCAACTGTTTCAATGTCCCCATTTTCTTCTAGATGATATCTTAAAGCATAATCAATGTCTAACAGGACGTGATCACTCTTTCCCAAGGGAGGAAGGTACTGGATGTCAAATATCTCTTCTTCTTTCCTGGTGAATACCAGATCCAGTACTGACGGTACATCTCCTTCCCCCATTCTTGTGGCCTGCTTTACGTGTAGATACAAGAATGTCTCTAGAATGAGGTTCACAAATCTGCATGTCCAAAAGTCCTCCGTTCTTGCTTCATAGGCCTCCCAGTCTATTGCTCTAAAGTTGAAGTCCCCCAGTATCAACAGTCGTCATTTATCTTTATCTGCTTGTACAATAATATCTCTCATGACCATTATGAGGCCCTCTCGTTTGTCATCCAGTTCTTCCTTTGTCCATGTGTTGCTCGCTGGTGGGCTGTAGGCATTTACAATTATCAGCTTATCATCCTGATTCCAGACCTGCAATGCCATTATGTCAATATCTCGAGGGTTTTCAAATATTAACTCTCTTACCTTCAGGTGTTTTTTCACCAGTACAGCCACTCCTCCTCCCTTCATAGTTTCCCTGTCACGTCTCCAAACTGAATAGCCTCTTGGGAATATGACTTCATTTATTATATTTC